CAGGTTGGATGGAAACATCACAGTCAGTTAAGACTTTACCTGCTTAATAACGTATAGCTCCAGTGTTGGATATTCTTAGGTATGTTTATGCTACGTTAAATTCTCAAAAACGTAGTTTCACGTCAATTACTCTTCCAAAAGTGTAACAATAAACAAGTTTCACTTTCCTGCTATACAACATTTGACGGCAATAGTGGCAGCTTGGGTTTAAGGAAGAAGACGAATAATAAGATTGTGAAATAATTTTTTTAGCAATTAAACTGTTTCTCATTGTTCACATTTCACAATTCCAAATTGGCTTGAACGTTCGGCATTTAATAACAGTGAATCGCCCTGCTACAGAAACCTACAGGAACCACCCGGGTCGCCTCAGCTGATGTTCTGTGGCCTGTCCCCCTTTTACTGACCTACTCAGTGGCAGAGTCATTGTGCCCCAGACTGGTCCGGTAATTTCTACACAACACTGCTGATGAAACAACGTGGATGCGTATCATAACCAGAATATCTCAAACCCGACACCAATTTCCCTGGCTTCCTGTTCTGGTGAACAGTCTGTCACCAAATATCCACAGAGGCATGCAAACTGCAAGAAAGTTGTATTGCTAACGACAACCACCTACCCATCATCAACCAAGACTTCAAACGTACATCGCCGCCAACTCAAGTCCAGATCCCCCCTTCTCGGGTCGTGCTATGACCATCCGAGAATCTCACCCAGATCTGGAAGAACGTTGGCAAAACAGTGGGTCAATGTGAAGGTCCTGAATAAACACTTCATTCGAGACCAAAAAAATTGCACCTCCTGGCATTGCCATTCGGAGCTGTCCTTTTTTAAAAAGTCCGGGACTCTGCTGACTACAAACTGGACTCCACACTGAGATATCAGCAGTCAACTCATCCCAGGTGTCATTGTTGATGTGACGCTTCTTCGGGCCTACTTTCAAAGTGTCCTCATTGCAGTTTTTTTCTGGCGAACTGCAGTATGACACCTTGATGCACTGCGCTATTGGATAGCCCCTTGACTTTCCACCGCCTTTTCCCATCTATTGGGGCTATCTGACAATTTCAACCGAGAAGATGGATTCTGGCTTAGCAATCATTGGAAGGATTTGATAAACCATTTCGGGTTTTAATTGATTGTTCATGCTTACGGTGGCTTTCAGACCGCATCCATTATTTTCGTTTCCCCCCTCCTCTTTTCCGAACATAGATGGACTCTTCCATCTGAATTACTGCCAAATTGCTCTCTGTGGTGCTAACGTTAAAATAATAAAAAAACGCCACTTTTTTCAAATTTTCTTGCCGTGGTTTTCACACCTGATGATGATTGCTTGTGTTGCAATCGAAACGTCGTGAGAATTTTATTGTTTTATATTTTTATTATTGTATTGTTTCCCTTCTACGTGACTTTACCGAAAGAACCAAGAATATGAATCCCTGCAGTCACGAAAGCTTTAAATCAAAACAAATAAGTTATTTTAAAAAGGGAAGTTCTGTGAATGGAAAATCACACGTCGACTGTTTGAAATGTATAGCTGCTTTTTAGTGTAGAACCCCTCTAGGCTTCAAACATTGGCAGATTAAATTGTTGGCCACATTCGTTGTTATCAGATATTGCCTACACAATGCTGATTGGAGCCCTCCTCACACTCTAACCATTCCACAGGCAAGTGCTGCCATCCATCCCACTCCTGCACATCACTCCGTCTCCACTGTGAATGTTCTCTTGAATGTATTCAGCAGCCCAATCAGTGAACACTCAATTTTCACATTCACCAGGGATGGACAAAATTCCTGACCCTAAGAGCTACGTACCAAAGACAAAATATTAACTTCTACAAAACATGCTGAAATATCTCCACAGTGCTAAAGAAAACATGAGTAGGTAACGTGATGTGGTCACGTGGTCCAGGAGTACTCATATCTGACATCCGCTACCAGGGATGAGTGCACCCGGCTACTTCCGCTCCCTTTGCAAATAGAGTTGTATTGAACATTTAAAACATTAGTTGGGTCTCTATCGAGCCGCAATTGAATGGTCTAGGAGCTGCACATGACTCTCATGCTGCGGGTTGTTTCCTACACAAATACGGTCAGCCCTTAACATTCGCGAGGGTTAGTTAGGTTCTTGAAAATATGCGCGAAAGTAGAATCGGGAATGTGCATGCTATGTTTATATGGGAAAAGAGGGGTTAGTTTCCTGTGTATGATTGAGCATACGAGACAAAATGAAAATCTTTCCTGACATTAATTCTATACTGTACACGAACAACATTCATGTACTCAATTTCATTGTACAATACAAATAGATGATGACAAATAATGCAACCAAAGAGAATAAGTTAAAACGTCCAAAAACGATACCGCTAACGTGGATGTTTTTCCTCAATGCAAAACGTCGCGGTCACTCGAACGGTTTATGATGCACCACCTCGGCGTTTTGTGTGGCACCTCAATGAGTGGACCGGCTGGAAGCACACGGCAATGCGTGTGCACGTGAGCGCTGTGCGTGAGCGCGTGTTACACAATGGCACGGGTCTGCACACGTGTTACACGATGGCACGGGTCCGAACGCGTTTTACACAATGGCATGAGTTGGCATGCATGTTACACGATGGCATGGGTCCGCACGCGTGTTAAACAATGGCGACAGGCCCACACGCGTGTTACACAATGGCTCGGGTCCTCACGCATGTTACACGTTGGCACGGGTCCGAACGTGTTTTACACAATGGCATGAGTCGGCATGCATGTGTAGAGGAGTAGAATGGGGAAGTGGCGTCACTTGTGCTGTCCAGGGCGATGACGTGACGTCATGCGCTCTGGGCAGCAGAGTGACGTCACGGCTGCTCAAGGATAAAAGGGGGACTCCGTGACGTAAGCGGGGTCGTAGCTGGAGAGTAGGGTCGGAGAAGGGTGGAACGGGGAGCCAGGGGCAAGAGGGTAGGGATAGGGGAGAGCACAGTGCCAGGCTAGAGGTGGCTGTGCTCCTCGGTCGGCCGTGTTGGTTGATCCCACGGCTGGCGCAGAGGAGACAGCACAGGGCAGCCGGCTGTGTCGGGACCTAGCCCGGGACCCCTAACCCCTGGGGAGTTGTTCACCCCTGTGTATTGTTAATAAAACCTTGGCGGAAGCCCTTACCTTACCTTAGCCTCCGGGTGAGTCGTCGGGAACTCCTTTACACATGTTAAACAATGGCACGGGTCCACAGGCATGTTACACAATGGCACGGGTCCTCACGCGTGTTACACAATGGCACGGGTCCAGACACATGTTACACAATGGCACGGGTCCACACGCGTGTTACACAATGGCACGGGTCGACATGCGTGTTACACAATGGCACGGGTCCACACGCGTGTTACACAATGGCACGGGTCGACATGCGTGTTACACAATGGCACGGGTCCACACACGTGTTACAAGATGGTACGGGTCCACACGCATGTTACACAATGGCACGGGTCCACACGCGTGTTACACGATGGTACGGGTCCACACGCATGTTACACAATGGCACGGGTCCACACGCGTGTTACACAATGGCACGGGTCCACACGCGTGTTACACGATGGCACGGGTCCACACGCGTGTTACACAATGGCACGGGTCCACACGCGTGTTACACAATGGCATGGGTCCACACGCATGTTACACAATGGCACAGGTCCACACGCGTGTTACACAATGGCACGGGTCCACACGCGTGTTACACAATGGCATGGGTCCTGAACGCACGGGAACCCACAATTCAGCATTGTGCAAGTAGCTCCCCTCTCAACGATGCCATGTTGCCAAATCATAGATAAATTGCCTTTTATTCATCGTGCAGGTGTAGGGGAGGAGCCATGGGCTGGTTGTTAAAGTACTTGGATCTTACGAACATTCACATCCAGTCCATACTGGTATTGTTCTGACTTTTTATTTGACCTGCAGACATCAAGGGTTGAAGGGCTTACCATCAGTATGGTACTCTCTATGCACACCATGTGCACGGCAGGCCCGGGAAAGGAAAGCAGCAAGAAAGATGAAGAAATGTGTTGGTGGATGGAATCATTTCTCTGACTCCTAGTTCTGACAGTAAAGGATTCAGATTGTTTTCCACGCGAGAGGACAATGCCACAAACATCAACATGGAACTATCTGATGATAGAAGTGAACCTCTATGGGTAGCCATAGTAGTGTATGACCTTCCATGGAGGTCATTTGTTCTCCTGAACAGAAAATCATCGCGGTCCAAGACAAGTGCCAGAAGGCAATAGAAGTGAGAATATAAGGAGGCCAGACGAGAGCCATGAGTAGTCAGGGGATCAGGATAGTGTTATGGGAAAATAAAAGAAAAAGTGGAAAAAAGAAGACTAAATTGTATTCGACAGCAGCAACAGTAAGCACCCAAGAGCTTTCACTAAAGCACTTACACAATTGTGAAAGTCGAAAAGCGTGTTTTTGCGCAGTTTCATATTTGGTGAATTTGCAAACCCCAAAGGGTAACCAGAGAATGGATGATCTGATAACATTTGTTTCTGAAATACACAATCATATGGTGAACATGTTTACGATTTTCAGAGGAAAGTGCTGGTTATTACAGGCAAGGCCAGTAAATCTAACCTATGTAAATCATCTTCTTTGGTTCTTTCGGTAAAGTCACGTAGAATGAGAATAAAATAATAAATTGATAAAATAAAATAACACAATAATATTCTCTATTTTATTTGATCAATTTATTATTTTATTCTCATTCTACGTGACTTTACCGAAAGAACCAAAGAAGATGAATCATTGCAGTCACGAAAGCTTTAAATCGAAATCTATGTAAATCATTTTTTGTCTGTCTGTGTACGCTCGTTTGCAGGGGATTTGGCTCTCGAACCGCGGGGTTCGCGTGGAAATGTTTTTGCCGGGCGGCGCGCCCCGGGCCCCCCGCTCGGCATAGACTATTCCGTTTTGCCGTCGTCGCCTTGAAAGTGGTTTAATTGACGTTCCGGAGCGATGCATATTTATTTATTTACTTGCCGACCGGCTCGCTGCTACGCATGCGCGAAACGCCGTTGCCCCTGGCAACGCACAGACGCCGTCGCCGCAGGGAGGGACGCCATTGCTCATTCAAAATGCATTAAATTTACACGCGACGCTGAGGTAAATTCATCAAAGTGTCACGTCCTCTTCTCTCCCCCTCCACCCTAATGTGTGCACTATCTATTATAGGCTCGGTAGATACTAAAATTATAGCGATTAAATATGATTATTGCAGCGCGGGGGGGGGGGGTAGCGGCCTAGGCACCAGCCTCGGCCGGTCGGAGGCTTTGCACGGGACTAGGCCTCGTCACGGCAAATCTGTCACGTGAGTACTTTGTGCTATAGAGTCGATATATACTGCTACTAGCGGGGAAATATATATTTTAAAAAGTCTGAAAACTTGAAAACATAACTTACAAATGAAAAGATAACTCATTCATTTAAAATAAAATCCGTTTAAAATAAAATCCGAGCGCGCCAAGGATCGATTCTTTCAATCGCGCAAAGGAATCGAATGTTGTAGATTCCTTTAGAATCGTCTTGAAGCGACGACGCTCGCTTGCGAGGAATTTGGCTCTCTAACCGCGGGGTTCGCGTAGAAAAAAAATTGACGGGCGGCAAGCCCTAAGCCCCCTGCTTGGCATAGGCTATTCCGTTTTCCCAACCCTAAACTTTAAGGTAGTTTAAGTAACGATTTAGTGCGCTTTATATTTATTTAAATATTTTTACCGCTCAGCTCGCGACGGCGCACATTTGCGCATGCGCGAAACGCTGAGCGAGGGTTGCCCCTGGCAACGCGCACACGGTGGAGGGGGGAGGGGCGATTCTCATTACCGTTGACACGCTACAAGGTGAGTCGAGCATTCTAGATTTAAAGCTTTCGTGACTGCTAGGATCCATACTCTTTGGTTCTATTGGGTAAAGTCACGTAGGTGAAAATAAAACAACAAAAAATCACGACGTTTCGGCCACAACACAAGCGGCCTTCATCAGGTGAAGGGACGAGACTGTCTGGAGGACAGCGCTGGAGTGGAAGAAGCCACGCTTAGATTACGACCTTTAAGCTGTGTGAGAAGAAAAGACCAAGCGCCTTGACAAAGGAATTAGCATATAATTTAGCATTGAAATGGCTCATTGAAATAGCTAAGTTAAAGTATACACATCCGCAGAGGTACCCCTTGACAAAGGAATTAGCGCTGGAGTGGAAGAAGCCACGCTTAGATCACGACCTTTAAGCTGTGTGAGAAGAAAAAGACCAAGCACCTTGACAAAGGAATTAGCATATAATTTAGCATTGAAATGGCTCATTGAAATAGCTAAGTTAAAGTATACACATCCGCAGAGGTACCCCTTGACAAAGGAATTAGCATCGAATTTAGCATTGAAATAGCTGAGTTATTAGCTTGTAACTGGTCACAGAAATAGCTGTGTTCAAGTTAGAGCATATGCATTCACCGAGGCACCTAGTACTCATCAAACAGGAGAATTTAGCGAAACACAACCACGCTCAGACATCGGACCTGTGTGCGAGCAAACAAGGTGTTCTGACAAAGAAATTAGCATAAAAATTGGCATTTGATTGGCGGATTTTAAGAAAGAGGTGGTCTACGTGCCGGTGGACTTGCAGTTTGGCGCGGGGGGGGGGGGGAAAGGGGGGAGGGGGAGTTTACCTATTGATGGTGTGAAAAGGGGGAATTTATAAGAGCTGCGAAAGTTTGGGGTACCACTACTTGAAAAATATACTGTACCATTGAAATTAGTTTAATGTTTAGTTCGATTTAGAACATCTTTCCAATGGTTGCTTAATTTGAAACCATCCTCTCGGTTGAAATTGTGTCTGTAGATCTGAACTGCTTCATGAACAAATCTCTGATAAAAGCCCGTGGGTTTGCAAAGAACCTTGGTATCGGAGAAAATTATATCGTGATCCCCCACAGCGTTGTAACAGTGATCAGCCACGGCAGAAGAATTCGTTTTGCCGTGTTTCAAATCTGATTTGTGCTCGCGAATTCGGTCAGAGACATGTCGTAAATCAGGAATGACATCCTTCACGGATGGGATCAGATCACGAATTTTGTGTACTGTATTGAACCGGACCTGGATCTTGTGTTTGTTTAGAATTTTGGAAATCTTTTTAGTAACGCCTGCTATATATGGAAGTGTGATGGTTTTGACCGGAGTATCAAGTGGTTGTTTCTGTATAGAGGGAGAGACAGCTTGGCGGATGGTACGGTCATAGTAACCATTCCTTTTGAGGGCCAGGTGTACATGTTTTAATTCACTGGTCAGGTGGTGTTGGTCCGAAATGCAATGAGCCCTATGGTATAAAGTTTTGATGAGAATTCTTTTGGGCTGGGTGGTGGTGGGAATCAGGTTTCAAGTAGGAATCTGTGTGGGTGGGTTTCCTGTAGACAGAATGCCCCAATGAGCCATCAGGTCTCCTCTCAAACAGAACATCTAAGAATGGTAGCTTGCCATCTTTCTCCACTTCCATGGTGAATTTGATGGCAGGATGTCTGGAATTAATGTGGTGTAGGAAAAGTTTCAGAGCTGGGAGGCCATGTGGCCAAATGACGAAAGTGTCATCCACATATCTCTTCCACAGGGAAGGTCTGAGGGTGGAAGTCTGGATGGCGTCTGATTCAAATTTCTCCATGAAAATATTGGCTATCACTGGTGATAAGGGGGATCCCATGGGGGTACCCTCATTTTGTTTGTAGAAGGAGCCATTCCAAGTAAAGTAGGTATTGTTGAGGCAGTGCCTAACCAGTGCAGGTGTGTCGGGGTCTAGTCCATGTTGGACCAAATTTTCAATTATTTCAATGGTATCAGGTACTGGGACCTTGGTGAACAAAGAGACACATCGAAGCTGACAAGGATATCGTCAGGGAACAGTACAACGTCCTTGACCATAGAGACCAATTGGGCTGAGTTAAGTACTGCTGAGGCGGTCTTGCCAGTGAAAGGCAGCAAGGTATCTGACAGAAAATGGGCTAGTCTATAGGTAGGGGAGTTGATCGTGGATACGATGGGTCGAAGTGGGGTGCCTTTATGAATTTTGGGAAGACCATAGAATCTAGGGGGTCTTGCAGCAGAAGGTTTTGGGGAGGGACGTTTAGTTGGGTCGATTAGGGAGGTCGAACTTGTGATAATCTTGTTGGTTTTTATCGCTAGGCTATTAGTAGGGTCATTTTTTTATTTTTGAGTAACTTACATCGTTGAGCAGATTCTGGATTTTGTTGTATGAATCTTTATCCATAATAACAGTAGCGTTGCCTTTATCGGCTGAGAGGATGACTATATCACTTCTGTTTTTTAAATTCGCGAGTTCAGAGCGTTCATTTTTGCTGATGTTACTAATGGGTTTCTTAGCATTCTTAAGAATAGTGACTATTTCAGCTCTCGCAACGTCTGCTTGGATGTGTCCTACGCCTTTGAGGGCTACATCGACCTGAGAGATGATATCATCTATTGGTATGTGTTTTGGGGTGACAGCAAAATGTAGTCCCCTAGCCAGTACTGTTTTCAGATTGTCCGAAATCGGGGTGCTACTCTGATTAATGACGATTTTGTTAACATCTAGTTTTGTTATATGTGGAACTGGGTTCTTCTTTGATAGGTGGTTGAATTTATAAATCAGGTTAGCTTTACATTTGACTGACAGTGACTCAGCAGAAGAAGCAGTCATGTTGTCTACGTGATTCCAATCAGAAGGTCACATTTTTTGTGTTAACATTAAATGAGCTTGTAGGAGAGTCCTGTCTAAAGTATCGAGTTCAAATCGGAGTAGCCTTATCTTCTCTGAGATTAAAGATAGGCTGGCCTTAAGCAGAATCTGTTTAGAATTCGGAGAAGATACAGCAGCAGAAGTGAGTGTGAAAGCGATGGGTATTACCTTGTGATCGCGGCATGTTTTGAGGAAGGTCAGCGTCTCGATGAGTTGCGACTTCTTGTCCCGTTGTCTGTTAAAAGCTCTAACAGATAGGTGAAAACCCTCCCCATAGAGGTTATCAATTATAGATGTAAAGCTTTCGTGACTGCTAGGATCCATACTCTTTGGTTCTATTGGGTAAAGTCACGTAGGTGAAAATAAAATAACAAAAAATCACGACGTTTCGGCCACAACACAAGCGGCCTTCATCAGGTGAAGGGACGAGGACAGTGCTGGAGTGGAAGAAGCCATGCTTAGATTACGACCTTTAAGCTGTGTGAGAAGAAAAAGACCAAGATTCATAAAGAAGGCACCCCACTTCAACCCATCGTATCCACGATCAACTTTCCTACCTATAGACTAGCCCGTTTTCTGTCAGATACCTTGCTGCCTTTCACTGGCAAGACTGCCTCAGCAGTACTTAACTCAGCCCAATTGGTCTCTATGGTCAAGGACGTTGTACTGTCCCCTGACGATATTCTTGTCAGCTTCGATGTGATCTCTTTGTTCACCAAGGTCCCAGTACCTGATACCATTGAAATAATTGAAAATTTGTCCAACATGGACTAGACCCCGACACACCTGCACTGGTTAGGCACTGCCTCAACAATACCTACTTTACTTGGAATGGCTCCTTCTACAAACAAAATGAGGGTACCCCCATGGGATCCCCCTTATCACCAGTGATAGCCAATATTTTCATGGAGAAATTTGAATCAGACGCCATCCAGACTTCCACCCTCAGACCTTCCCTGTGGAAGAGATATGTGGATGACACTTTCGTCATTTGGCCACATGGCCTCCCAGCTCTGAACCTTTTCCTACACCACATCAATTCCAGACATCCCGCCATCAAATTCACCATGGAAGTGGAGAAATATGGCAAGCTACCATTCTTAGATGTTCTGTTTGAGAGGAGACCTGATGGCTCATTGGGGCATTCTGTCTACAGGAAACCCACCCACACAGATTCCTACTTGAAACCTGATTCCCACCACCACCCAGCCCAAAAGAATTTTCTCATCAAAACTTTATACCATAGGGCTCATTGCATTTCAGACCAACACCACCTGACCAGTGAATTAAAACATGTACAGCTGGCCCTCAAAAGGAATGGTTACTCTGACCGTACCATCCGCCAAGCTGTCTCTCCCTCCATACAGAAACATCCACTTGATACTCCGGTCAA